CTGGACACGTAAACACTAACCCCACATACACATTTGATCATTTGCGTTTGATCGTCAGTTATTGAATGATGAGCGTCAGAACGTGCTCAATTAATCAAGTGCAGTGGTTCGATCATCATTGCGGACAGACGAAATTCAGTGAGAGTGCTTACATGACTTATTCAGTTAAGACAAACAGACCTACCGCTAACCCAACAACTACAGTCCCAACCTAACTCACGATTCGCCAAATTCAAAATCTTGATCATCTCCTTTACTGTCATGTCTTATTAGGAAAATTACAAAAAAAATATATGTACTGATATGAATGATGAAACAAAATAATAATGAGGCTAAAACGCATATGGAGTACAAACCCTTTTTATTTTTTTAGCTTGTAAATATTGAAACCCGATTCACCGCTCACTACCACCTCTCGTTTATACCACTCTCCAAACCAAATGCAACTTCAAAACACACCAGAATCCAAATAATTCGGACAGCGTTTTTTTCCGTTTGTTATTGTCTTTTCCGTTTACCTTTGCTCTTTCTGGCCACTATGTGCCAACTCTTGTTTTTCCCTCGCTTTTCTAGGGGCACCGCACACACGCGCCACCCTATGCTCAGTTCAGATCGGCGAGATCAGTAACGTAAAGAAGCTTGACAGTGTGACTCACGGCTATGTTGTGGTGCAGCGCGTTCTGATCTCATTGGATATTTGGTCAACAGTCAGCAGCACACGAAGAATCAACGTTTAGTTGCCAATTTTTTATCATACCCCACCCTATGCAATGGTTTACCGGAGCCACAATGGCGTTCACCTGAATTCCAGAATCTCACCAGGGTTGAAAGAAAATGAAAAGATAAGCAGTACTAATCGGTCATCACAACTAGATGAGATAACGACAGCTCTCACGGAAATACTGTAGTGAAATGTTGAGCCAAAAGCGAAAATCAAACTGTTCCAAGTAGGCAGCGGAAGTGCTTAAAATTTGCAAATTTCTCACCAATAGGCGCTAAAAGAAAGCTCAAATGCTCGCAGAGGATCCTAGAACTACTACAACACCAAATTTTCCAAGTAGTCGCCCAACGGCTCCAGTCGCTCAGTAGCATTTCAAATCTACATCTTTTCAAGTTCAATTAATATACACCATTGCTGTTAAGTTCCAAGTTGAAAGTAAAAATCTCACCTCTTGTCAGCTGGTTGTTCCATCCAACGCTTGAAGAGGCTGACAACTTGGGTGACGCAGTCTTTATAATCAAGAGAACACATCCACGAGATGGCTTGAACACGAATGAGTTGATCCAGGTGAGGATCGTTAAGATTATCAGCAAAGCCAACTTTCTTGTAAAGAGGCTCCAAGAGAGAGATCAGGTAGCGCTGTATCGCGAATGCAGAGTAAAAAAAATAATGGTGGAAACTTTTCATATATTTAGTTGGATAACGCAATCAATTCTCTCCGCACAGACAACTGACATAAAAATAAAGATCAAGTGTTTACCTGAATATGGCAGCCAAGCTACGAGTTAGTCAGGTATTTCGAAGATACAAGAAGAATATCTTACCTTGAATGCACCGTAAGAAGCAGTTCTGCTGAGCATGTTCTTGACGTATCCCAAGTTGTTCAGTGCAGTTTTCCAAGGCACGTACTCTGTCTCCTTATCGAGGTAAGACAACGCGTCCATGGCTACGTCGTAACTCAGGACTCCACCACGTGCCAAATCCAGTGCATCGTCTAGTATCTGAGCGCGATTGCTCACGTCAATCTTCGTGTGATCAGCCTTCAATTGCCGGATAATTTGCTGCCAATTGTTAGCATCATAGTTGACTTTGTAATAACCAGTTTGTTGGAGGTTCACGATGACCCACTTGTTCGGTGATGTAGGAAGGCCGGAGATAGTTTTAGTGGGTTCGGTTTTGTCCATCCAAGCTGACGGACGTGTATCGTTGAAGTTCATCGCGTCTTCAGAGGTGAAGGAAATAGGGACCCACCATTTGTAGTCGTGAGTGTCGGTCGAGTTTTCGTTCTTCACCAACAGGAAACGTTCCTGTTCAATCAACGAAGTAATTAAATTTTAAATGGCGAATCACAGGCCTGTATGCGACTTATAGTATAGTTTCAAGTTACGAGCAGAGTAACAAAGTAATTTACCGCTAAAAACTGTAAACAGTTTGAAGTTTTTATAATTATTTTCGGAATGTGTGAAAGATCAGATGGCTCTTCATAACGGACTTTAATAAGTGTTAAGCAAATATAAAAAAAATCTCTTGAAATTATCAACGATATTGCATATACTTTTCTCAAATTGAGATGATTGACAAGCGATAATACCAAAGCAAAAGAAAAAAGGATATTCCAAACGCATTTCATTAGCCATGACCAACGTAGCTATTTTGGAAGAGATTTTAATTTTTAACCGTTGGAATAGGAGTAATAAGTAACAATCGATTACCTGGGACAACATAGCAGAGCCATCGCCTTTGACCGTGACCGTTATGAGGGGGTAGCCCATCTGCAGCGTCCAGGTATCCATGATGTCCTTAACGGTCAGGTCCTGAGGCAAGTTCTTGTCCTGATGCGCCTGCTCCGTCAGGAAGCGCCACAAGTCGTCCTGCTCTGCGCTTTTGTACTTGCTGTTGAAAATGTGAATTTGTTTCAGTTTGGCAACATGAAATACGTGAACGCATACGTTTACACACATAAAACAGTTGTATAGCTTCATAATTACAACATAATTCTCGTGCTCCCATCAACGCAGTATATGCTACTCGTTTAATGTACCTGGTTTAGTAACAAACGATGCTATTCTGAGAGGAGGATTCTACTCGGAATCCTCTATAGAATTGTACCATAGGATTATAAACGGATTCCATTGGAAAATTCGTTGAGAATCATTGAGGTTACATGCAATGGGATGCGTTCAGATGTTATTTTGAATTTTCTAGAAACGGCATAATTGTGGCGTTGCGAATTACATGCAGTAGGAATAGCATAAAATACTCATACATAAATGAACGTTTCACTCACAAGTGATTGAGGTAATTCGTCAAGCCCTGCCGCAAGGTGGGCTCAGTCAAGAAATGATTCATCATCCGGATGATGGACGCACCTGAGGAGGAATTTTTTGAATTTTTTTAGATTAACTAAGATATTCAAGGTATCTTTTTAGCGAATCATAGTAGGGATAATGATGCTACAAGTACAAAATTCGTTTAATTTCAAGTGAGGGAAAAATAAATTTTAGAAAATGATGATAATTAATAGTACGAGATTATAGCGAGGAACGAAAACCTGACATCTCAACAATGAAATTTTTTTCGAAAATAGGTAGGATGGACGGTATAGTCTCGTGAATTTCTATCGAAGCAAATAAGTTCTACATACAACAACAAACTCTACCTTTGTTGTAGGAAATCTTATCGAATATGGCTTCGATTTCACTGGGGTGGCCGACGGGGATGCTGATGGGATGCGAGGACTCGAGGCAGTCCAGCGCGAAGACCGAGTGGAGGTCGTCAACCAGGAACTGCTCCATCATCTTCCAGGTGGGCTCAACCTGCATAGACAATTCATCAAAAGCAACTGCAGTACAATAGTTTCAACCGCAATAAATATTGGATCGAAAAAATTTCGAAGTTACTGATAATGAGTTACAGTAAATACATTTAAAAATCCCTAACGAAGTTGACAGACTCGTACAGCTAAATTAAAACGCTCGCTATTTGTCACCACTTGTATGCTATTTTTGAAAGATATCTTTGGATTTATAAGCTTTTTTCACCTAGGCGCACATTTTATCACGAATAAGTTTTTTCTAGGACCCGTATTAAATAGGGTAAAAAAATGCATTTCGGGAAATTCAAGTAACGTACTGCATCAACTCCTAAGTTTTCCAGATATGAAGCGAAGCCCTCGTTGAGCCAGAGGTCGGTCCACCAAGACGGTGTGACCAGGTCTCCGAACCACTGGTGGGCGAGCTCGTGGGCCACGACTGCAGCAACTCTTTGTTTGTTGGACGCAGACGACACCGCAGGATCGTAAAGCAAAGCTGTTTCCCTGCAGGCGAAATGACATTTCTAGAACGCAATTGGATTTCCAGTTAAACATCGATTTAGAATATTATAAAAATATTTCATTATTATCTTATAAAGTGCTATTTTAATTTTAATATTGTAGAAAGGTCTTTAGATGGTCAGGATAAAGATGCAACATCCCAAATTTAGGTACGTACATGAATGACCCAAGTGATATTACCCTCTTTTTTGCTGAGTAAACTCTATTAATTCGTATCATACCTGTATGTGATGAGACCCCAGTTTTCCATGGCACCGGCGGAAAAGTCAGGCAGCGCAATCATGTCCTGCTTGGGCAGCGGGAACGGGATGGAGAAATAGTCTTCGAAATAAGTCGTGACGTCGGGCCCGATCGCCTTCGCGTACTCGGCTTGATCGATGGCCTCTTGGCGTGCCCAGACTGGTGGAAGATTACCAAATAACTTATTCGCTCTTATTAAATTTTGTTTCGGTTCTATTAACGAATATTATTTCTTTGAGTACAATTTAGCATTCTATAATTTAATTCAGCATTCTATAATTGTCTATAAATCGATCGCCTTCGCGTGCTCGGCTTGATCGATGGCCTCTCTGCGTGCCCAGACTAGTGGAAATTTAACATTAAAAGAGTGTGAACTTACAGGATTCAATTTTTTGTTGTGGTCAAAGCCACAACAGTATAATAAAAAACATGGGACTGCGCTACAGAAGTAGAAAAAGTTTATTATTATTCAGATTTCCTAAGAAACAAAAGAAAAATAATTAAAATTGTACTTAGATAGTACACAAAACATAACTCCCACTTGAATCAAGTTTGATATATTAGATATTTAGCGTGTTTCTATCACAGTAGTATCGGAGTTTTAAAGTTCATCTAACAAATAGTGCGTAAAACGTTTAATAATTTTTGCCTCTGAATAGCGTGTTTTTGTTAGCAGTGGAGTTGATGTGAGAGAAATCGGAGACGACGAAGGCGACCAAGTACGTGGACATGGGAACCGAAGAGTTGAAGTGATCCCACACCCAGCCTGGCTGATCAGGGCTGTCGAGTTCAATGAGCGTGTCAGAACGATAACAATATAAGTAAACGCAGGAACAGTTTAATAATCAAATGGGATGTATTGTCAAGTTATTTCGACTACAGTTTCTCGAATAACCAAGTCCCCTCGCTCATATTTTCCTTGACTGTCAAATTCCCCTCTTGTCGTACTCCTTTCCCCCTCCCTGTCGTACTCTACGTTTGATGGATAACAATATAAATAAACGCAGGAACAGTTCAATAATCAAAGGGGATGTATTGTCAAGTTATTTCGACTCCAGTTTCTCGAATAACTAAGTTTTTACCAAATATTGTGTCGGTGTTTCTCTCTCAATGATGTATGCCCGCTTCATAACGCACGCGAAAAAATCTTTTCACTATATAGGCTCTAGTACCGTTCAACTCACACAAGCGAGGTGTTGATCCTCGGCATGTTCGAGATGGCAGACATGTTGGCTTGCCGAGCAATGAAAATTTCGAACTCTGCTTTGAGTGCAGGCTCGTCGAAACACGGAAACGCGCGCCGTGCATCCGTAGGCTGGAACTGAGTTGTCGCTATCATTCTGCAGCAAATAATAGATTACTAAAGGCTTGGAAACCCCAGAATATATGAGTAAAAAAATAATGACAAGAAAGTTAAGAGAAGAACTCCAAATCAAATGTTAATACTGAAGTAATTGACAGCATGGCTATACGTATTGTTCGTAAGACGTCCGTCAACTGAAAAAAAATGAAAATAACCAAAAAATAAGCGATATCAATGTTTGAACGGGGATTCAAAGCGTCGTTCGCGAATCATGTTATTATGCAAATAATAATTTACTTTGTATTAGTTTTTTTCAGGGCATCAGCAACTATTCCCAAATCATCTACACTCACTTCTTCTGTCCACTTTTATTGGTGTACTGGGAGCGGTAGAAGCCTTTGAGTTGATCGTTGAGGTAGCCTTCGAAATTCATGGAAAGTACATACTTCCTATCCTTGACAAGCTCCTGATCCAACATTGCGATGTAGAATTCTCGGTCAGCGTCGTACTTGTGTTCCGTGATTTTTAAGCTTTGAGCCGACATGTCATCCGCCATTTTCAACTGAAAAATTCAAAAAATGAAAATTTGTTCCAACTATGGCCCATCTAACTCATAAGTAAGGTTTTCGTTAGTATCATACATTCTAATGCAAAATGATTAGATGTAAACAAATTCGGCACTTTTAAATTTCACTCGAATTTAATTGCTAATTTACGATGAAATTACATCGTTTTCACTGCAGGCTTAGGTATAGGATGATTCGAATATTTATGAATTTCGAAATGTTATCTCGAAAAATGATACTCAATATTAAAACATTAGTATTTATAAATACAGTTTTAAGAGAAAATGTATAGACAAGAGCTCCCTTGCGATCGTAACAATAGAACAGCCAAGAACAACATGCCTTGATGGTCTCGTTTTTGCTGATGATGTCGGCCATGTGCAGGGACACGTTCTGGGTGGGTTCCAAGACCTTCATGGTGATCTCAACCGAGCCCATGATAGAGAAATTACCGTTGATAAATGGCTGAAGCCGTACAACATACCTGAAAAATTGGCCAAAGTTATATATATAGTTGACGGTCGTATGATAAAAACTTTTTTAAGAACAAGAACGAAAAAAAAATAAAATTTAGTTCTTGGCAAAATTCAGCTGTTTTTGATCTCACATCACCTAACAATCATGTCATCAATATTCGGCCTGATACTCGCGTAAGACAAGAGACACGCTCTTGCTTTCTAATTAATGAAGCGCTAGATTCGTGATATCAGTATTGCTACTCAATCGATCTCGAAGAGTTCAAAAATAACTCAGTACGTAGAAAAAATTTTTGAAGGCATCATTCAGAGCAGGGTTAGACCTCCTCCATGTTCACACACGAAAGTGGGTTCAAAGATAAAACACCAATTTTGATGTGAATACTTTAGGTTAATGAAAACAAAAACTGAATTGTTTTCAACCTAAGGCATTTTATGATGCACCCTAAGCTATTCTTGAATAAATGCATCGAAAGAAATGCACACAACGTAAAAAAGAAAAGAATAAATGTTGACCTAGATAATTTTGACTTACGATCTCGGAAAATAATCGTAACATTGATAAAAACTGTAATTAAAGAGAACATATGTGCTACTTTAACAACAACTTGGGTTCTGTCCTCGACCCCAGGAGTCGACCACTTTGCAACCGTTTATAGCTCATTTTCTCATTTATGTAAAAAAGGAGCCATTGTGCTCGTCATGTCCGTCCGTGACTTCACGTTTTCGTCGATTTTGAGAAAATGCGCTCTCTGTCACTCACTGCAGTGAGTACTGATTCGCAAAAAGATTCTACTAGCAAAATTAAAGATCCGAGCTATCAAAAATACTTACTTTAGGGGCACGATTGATCTTGGAAGCCGAACATCGATCTTCTTCCTGGTTTCGGGTGCTTCAGTCGTCGTTGAGGTAGTGGAGACCTGCACTGGTTCTTTCTGCGATACGAATTCATGCAGAGTCAGTCAGGCTGCACTGAAATTTATCTTTAAACGCTACATTATCGTTTTTTAAGAATAACAAACCTCATATAATCAATCAAGCAAGGATGGTAAATGACCTAAATATTTTCAATTGCGAATCAGGCAAGAGATTCGTTAAAATAAGGTTTGTATACAATAGTTTCGCCAATTGAGTATTTGTATTTTTCCCTAATTTTAGTTATCTTTCACTTTTATTAGTAAAATATATGATCAGAATTTTTAATTTGAAACTTGACTTTGGATTTGTTAAAGATCATCATGCAACTGATATTGTCAAAAAGCAATTATTATGTGTCATTATTTAACATTGCGGAAAGGCAAGAAGTGGAGACCAAAAAATTTAAAAGTGTTTGTGTATTCGAAGCTGATAAAGTAAATGACTAAAATTTCAAACGAGAAAAACAGAGGTGCAGGCATTTTTACGCGAAAATTAGTTGAAGTCCAAAGGTGAATAACATTTTTATGCGAAAATTATTTGAAAAATAGAAAGGCTAAAATCGCTTTCCCCAGTAAAACCTATGTGCTTACCCCAAATACTCACTGAAGACGAATTTCAATTATCACAATGTCAATTAAATTACGAAATATTCATATGTACATCAGACGATGAAAACCGTAGATACTTTATTTAGTTTGACAAGTTAATGTGTAGCCTAAAACTGATATTTAAATATAAAATTTCTGTAATGTGATTCATTCAATCAATCGTAAATAAAACGCTATTGAGTCAATCAGCAGCATGGCAAAGTGGTTAAAGTCAAAATAATTAAAATTGCAGCTATCTGTTGAAATTCTGGTTGAAATTAGCGCATTGGTCGAGTGGTCAAGAACAGCAATAGCGGAGTATTGAATTGCGGGTAGAAACCCCCAACGAGCTGTAATAATTCTGTGACACTTAGAATTGGCGACGGGACAGAGTTGGCGGAAACAACGCTAAGTTTGGTACGTTCAACAACTTAGCTTTCTGATTTCATTTGGTGTGAGAAATTTATTTATCTGTTAGTACCTTATTTCGAATAGAATTACCAATCTCGTCATATATGATAGCTCATGCAAAATAAATAGTATCAAGTATTCGTCTATGGATTGACAATTTGTATTGAGGATGAGTGAGACGATGTAATGAATCATAACTTGTATTGTCTTTTCTAATTTCAAACCGAGACTTTTAACTTTCTATAAGCTTCAGATTATCACCGAAGTTGCCTGAGGAGGAGGAGGAGATCCAACAAATTCTGCAGTGCTGGCGACAGGCGACGACGAAGCTTCGATGGGGTTTATTATGGAGTGAGTTGACGAGCCGGCGACATCAGGACGATGAGGGGTTGCATAGTAATACACCAGTAGACCCGTGGCCAATAGGGAACCCAGGAAAAATACACCCAATATAATTGCAATATTTTTGGGCACAAAGCACCCATTCTTGCGTCCAAAGGACAAAGTTGGTAACGGTTGCCCGCTGTCCATCGCTGTTAAGACTTCGCGGCTCTGGCTTACCGGAGGCATGGAACACGACCTGCAATGAAGGAACGAAAGTGAAAGTTCAAGCCACGATAAAACAACCAATCTTCAACTAAGAAATTATTTACCTCATCGTTAATAATGAAATACAAACAGTAGAGGCGTTCATCATCACAAAAATCAAGACTCGCTTTGTAGAATGAAATTTGCCAAATAAATATTTACTTAATTTATCGCAAATGAGTGTTAACATTGTGCTTCGAATGACAATAATTAAAAAGGATCAAACTGACAACTCAATTGCAGCGAAAAAAAGTATTTCAAGTTAGTGACTTCCAGCGCCATGATTCTGGAACAGGCTCATAAAATGTATCAAAATTGACCTAGCAGCAGAAAAAATTTATGACAAAAAGTATTAACGTAAAATGCGAAGCATACAAAAAATACCTGGCACTCTGCTGCCCACTTACTAGTGCGCTAACCACAACAGCGGTCTACTCGCGTATAGCAAGGGCACAGACGAAGAGGCCGGTCTACGGTCTACTCGCGTATAGCAAGGGCACAGACGAAGAGGCCGGTCTGCGGACTACTCGCGTGTAGCAAGGGCACAGACGAAGAGGCCGGTCTGCGGACTACTCGCGTACAGCAAGGGCACAGGCGAAGAGGCCGGTCTACGGTCTACTTGCGTATAGCAAAGGCACAGACGGAGAGACCGGTCTATGGTCTACTCCGGTACAACAATTGTACACACAGCCCCGGTCCACAGCAAGCGCACACACGAAATGTACGTACAGCTGTCGTGCACATGGCACAGAGAGGTCTGGGCACGAGATTTGCCTAGTATGCAGAAGCAGGTCTAGTGTAATGTTTCGTGTTCCCTAAAAAAACTATATAGTACTACAATGTGCTACATTCTAGTAAATGTTAGGTGAAAATGTTAGGGTAAAGTTCATTACCAAATGATTGCCGAAATTTTTACAATCATACACGTTTTGACCAGTACCAGTAAAACGATCAGGACATCAGGTTTCAAAGCAAAGAATGTGCTTATGGCAGGGAATTTTGTGGACACAAAGTGCTGACTTGATTAAAAAAAGATTACACACACATTTAAAAGAATATAAAGTAACAAAGAATATTGTGCGAACAAGTTACTTGCACGAAATTCTCAAAAACATTTGTCCATCTTTAGTGTCTCTTCAGCATGAAATTTAAATATTACAAATCCATTCCTACACACATGCAGTGAAACTTTCTACTGAAAATATCCAAATATATGAAAAAATTTAGCTGAATTTTGTATAACATAGTATGGAAATAAAATATTGAAGAATTTACTAGAAGTTACTTTCAGGTAATGTACGGCTGCTTTCTAGGCAGTTTTGACATCGGCCATCGTAGCGCAAGAACAACAGTTCAAGGGCGTTCGATGGCACCACGCGCACTTGTCCTGGCGGGGCCTTATGTTCAACGCAGCCAAGTTGGATTATTAGGCTCGGTAAACAATAATCAATATCAATGTCGGGGTTATATTTTGGAATAAATTATGCACCGTGATCAAATAGATGATAAATTACCGTATGTACCGTTTCAAAACCAGTATGCGCAATACCCTTTTACATGATTTTTCCTTAATTGCATGACAATTGGATGCTATTGGATACTAAAAAAAACAAAGATTATATTATAAAAAATTGGTAACGTGATATTTCATTCGATATGGAAGACATTTACATGTGAAGGTTTATTGTGATCTAAGATTGCATAGATTGCAAAAAATTCAAGCGCTGAACCAAAGGTACGTACAAGGAAGATCAAAAGCATGAATCAACTTTCACTCTCATGGAACATGCTTGCTGGAGCGCAGTGGAGAATGTTTGATGCTTGTCATCGCAATAAAATCTCTTGAAATTAGTGGAGCGCTGAGTCAATCTTGTCCTGATGTTCGCGTAAACTGGTGTGCAGAGTTAATTTCAGTGTTGACAGATTTGACGAAAAAACTGCACAGACGGAAATCTGTTAGACAGCTCGTTTAATGTTTTCAATTGCAGAGGTGGAAGGAAACAATATGGGCGGCTTTTCTGGTTGACAATGAGTGTATCTGACGGTAAATATTATGTCGGATCACAATTTAAAGTCGGTTTCACATATAATTCTATATTTAAAAATTGTACAACCAATTATTGCTGCTTAAATTGCACGATAAAATTACTTTTTATTTGTATTTCATGAAACAAATTTACTCTATACTATCTAAGAATGTCATCAGTTGCATATATTGCTTAAAATTTCAAGATTAATGAATACATTAAAGAACTATTTTCGTTTCTAATTACCACAATTTATTAATTTGTTCATCGGTAGCGCATGAAAAGATCGATAAAAGACGCCATCACCTGTTAAAGCTTACTCAAAAAGAGCAAAAATATAAAGAAAATACTGCAACTGCAATAAAATATACTGGAACATTTATAAAACGAGAAATAAAGTTATATTTGAAAAGTCCTCGTTTAGCTAGCAAAACAATAAATATATCTGAAGATTTCCATTTATAGTTTATTATTCCCGTTAAAATGGACAAGAATAAATCTTAAGAAGCGTGATGGTACCCTCAATAAGAGTAATTGGCAATGGGAAAGCTGGGGCTATAGCATCAAGCAATTTTTTAGCATTTTCTTCTTTTTCTCAATCAATTTTACTTATTATGCTACCTTGAACAATTAACATTTCCAAAAAATTATATCTTAAAAATCTGTCTCCTAATAAGATTTTTCAAGCTACAGTATTGAGAGACATATCGTTCGAATCGCAAGGACCATATCAGAGACATATGGAATCGCAAGGACCATATTAGAAGCCATCTTTTTGATTTGTACAAGGTTTGGATTATATTTAAAAAAAACTAAAGGGGAAGGGGGATGTGGGAAAAAAATGAAAAAATTAGCATACAAAATTAATACAATGCAAAACCGAAAAAGGGCTTCTACATTCTCCATACGAATCGACTGATATGGCTCTCGATGTTTTAGCGTGTAAATTGAAGGAGTAAATTCATGAAGTACCCCCTTTCTGTTGTTTTCTATGCATTTCATGTTTTATTTAAATATTTTCAAATAATTCATATGAGCAAAATGTTTTTCTTTTAGTGATTTACAGATGTGTACGGAGTTTCACAAAGATCGGTCATATAGTTTAGGAGATAATTTTGAAGGGAGACACTCTTCTTATAATGTCAAACCAAGATCTTGAAAATTCGCTACACCGCGTTGCTGGCCACGATAGGGGCAGCTGCCTGGGGTAATCCTATAGATATATAGAAGCAGCTTCAAAGATGGAGACACTGCCGGCGATGTACTTCGCCTGGACTTCGTGTCAAGTTCAAGTCTACTTATTTAGCAACCTGCGTGGCAGGAACTAGTTGCCGAACTACAACTAGTTGGCGGAACTTTGGATCAAAACTAGTTGACAAAATAAAAACTAGTTGACAAACCTAGTTGGATCAACACTAGTTGACAAAACTGCAACTAGTCGGCGAACGTTGGATCAAAATGAGTCCCAGCGTGGCCGCCTTCAGCACAGCGCTTCCCTGCTAACTTCTTTTCGTTTACTTCGTAAACGAAAGAGTAAACCGAGTATTTTCCTACCTTCGTGTCAGGCACGCTACCGTAACTCCCTTACTTGTTTTAGCAGTTACTGCGTCACTTCCGCGACGTCACTTTAGCATGCCTATATAATCTCCTCCTCAAGCAGACCTTCAGTCAGTCTTAGGCAGGAGGCGAGACGTAGTAAGCCATCACCATGTAGTCCGCACGATCACGGCCTGACTCCGGCGTCGAGTAGCCTCCGTCGTTAGAGTAACCATCTAAAACCTACCTTGTGTACTTATCACCAAGCTTCCTTGTATTCCTATCTTAATCAACCTGCCGCTTATTCGGACCCTAGCTAAAATACCTTGGACCCTCAACTCAACTCATAACCTAAGATCATCCGGTTATTAATCAATACTGAAGATATATTATAATTATATATTATCGGGCCGGTCAGACCAAAACACATCCGGACATTCGTGCGGCCTGCCACTTTACAAACTTGCAAATTCGGATCGATCAAGCGCCGGTCACTTCAAGGTTGGGCCCATCCGAATCAAACTTTCGTCCATCGTCTCGAGTTTCAACAACCTAATCAGACTTGATTACGTATTGAATTATTCTTCATATTAGTTGTCTTCATGTAAAGTTTGTCCATTGAATAATGCACGGGTAGTCTATTTCCGTTTGGTATCCTTTTTTATCAATTTAATTTTCAACGAATATAAAGCTATCTAGGTAATGTGTTGCTACTCTTTACTGCAACCATGCAAATTTGCCTAAGGGAGCACAGTAAGATAAACCTACGACAAGCAACTGATTTTGCCAGTTGAATCTAAGTAGGTAGAAATCGGCATCCGGTGCCAAAAACTATTCCCGCTAGAAAGATTATGCGCTCGAGAACTAGAATGAAATACACGCTGGATAACGTTTCAACTATCTTCACCGAAATTGGGTCAACATTCATTCAAAGTCCCTGAGCGAAAGCAGCTTACCGTTTAATGGTTTGAACCCCAATTAACGAACGTCCGCTGATATAACGAACGACCTTGCTGGTAACTATAGCGGCATGCTTGCACAACGAAACTCCATAATTGCAAAGCCATCGGGAATTGGTTAACAGAGCTGATTGCAGCATCCGTTCGGTGATTATCGAACACTTGCGTCTTATAATTATAAGTGAAAATAATCGACCTTTTTAAAATCTTAACAAGATACGTTCATCGTAAAGAGAAACGCACTATTTAGTATGAATCATTCCTCTTAATTCGCAATCAACCGATATGCTTACGTAAATAATCGCTGCTTTCAGAAGTCGTTAATTAAAAGGAAACAGATCTTGTATACGCAGCTTAAACGGCGAAATAACAAACAATAAATTAGATTACCAGGCAGTAAATTCATTGCACGATCAAGGGTATTAATTATTGAGATGCTTTAATGTACTATCAAAGGTACGTTAATGAGG